TACAACAGTTTAATTTTGAGTTATAAACCATTTATGAAAACGGCATATTTGTCAAAATTACCAAAACTTCAAGGAGACGCGTGGCAAAATTTCCCAGGGGTCTAGAGTGGAAATATTTGTACCAAGAGTCAATTTGTAACTAGAATCTATCAGATGACAGATTTTTGGAAATTTTTGCAGATTTGGACAACCCTAACCTATAACTTTGTTGAACCTGAAGAAACGTATCAACTTTTCACAAACATTTAAACTATCAATTTCATGCAATCAGTTATAGTTATACTCCGTATGTATGCTAAACTTAAGACTGGTGTTAAGAATCGACCAAGGCAAAGTGAATCTACGTAAAATTACACAACGATGAACAAAATGTTTTAGAATACAACTCCACGTTTGTCGTAGTCATAGACTCGGCGGGGCGTAGTGGAAGGTGACGGGACGTATTAGTCAAATTTTAAGAGATGTGTGGATGATTTAGAAACTGCTGCGTTTGATGCCCAAAAATCAAAACGTAGCGATGGAAGGTTGTAATGGGAGTCACTCTGAAATTATGAGCGAGAATGGGTAAAAGACTGGCGAGATAACTTGACTTACAGTTGAAAGTTATGAAAATTTGCTTTATCTCGCAGCTGGGGACCAAAACGCCGCTAAAACAAGGTACTTTGTACACGAAAACAATGTATCGACTGAAAGGTATTTCTGTGAAGCTTTGTACGGAACAAGTTTGAAGAAAAACGGTGAAGTGTGAGACTCACAATCCTTGATTTTCAAACACTGGGGTAGGTTTTAAATTCAAATTAACGGTTTTTCGGGACGGAGTGGTTTCGATACGTCCCGAAGAGATACTACCGCGTGGGGATAATACTACTAAATTAAGTTAATTTAGATGGGGACCAGACCTTGTCAAGCGCAACCACCCGACTCCCCTCCCACCTTTTTTCTTTTGAATATGTGAATTTTGGACATGTTTGTTACAGTTCTGCACTTTACAAAAAAATCAGACAAAAAGAAATTGGGGAAATATTTAAAATTTTCGAAAGATTTTTATGTTGAACTACATTTTCATCAATGATTCTCAACATACGGATCAACCTAAATGTGTATCATAACTAATCAATTTTAATAACCCAGAAATTAAAATATGTTTATCACATTACAGCTGTTAGTTTGTAACAGTGTAAATAACACATTTAATAATCATATCATATCAACACATTACTTGATAACTTCATAAACTAAAATGATTAGGTGAAATTAGGATTCGAGATGGCTTCCCAAATGAAATTATCTGTCAGGTTATTGTATTAGTCTCCCGTATATACAAGTTGTTGAAGTGACAGAGAGTTGATTGGGTGACAGAGAGTTGATTGGGTGACGGAGAGTTGGTGGGGGTCAGAGAATGGGTGGGGGTCAGGGCTGTATTTTTACCAGGGAAAAATTATTAAATTATGATTTTGGTCAAAGGCAGTCATTACCAACACGCAGTCATTTCCAAGTCATAAACATTTTGAAGTGAATTATCGCAAAATGCCCTGTTCTATTTTAAAACATGTAATTTAGTTTCCATTTTCTACAATTCACTTGAAATACTGTATTACATAAGTAGCATCTGCTGTAGTTATTGGGCACGCAATAAATAATGGAAAGAAAAATTGATTACTCAGAAATTGCATCCCAGAAGAATCATGTGTCTTTTTCTAATGTCATGGTGGTTCTGTTTTCAAATAGAGCACAAACACTGGTGATCCACTCGATTACGCTGGTTACCAAAACGAACCGTTTTGGAAACAAAATGTCTGAACGTCGAAGGCACGATTTTTCTTTTTTCCTTATTTCACGCGCTGTAGGCAGAATCCCAACGACGTTTTTTCTCACAACGTGCATCAGTATCATATGTTTTAGAAAATGTACATGTTTGCGAAAAAATAGCTCAGAGGACAACAGAATCGTCGATTTACTTCCTCACTTAAGTTACATAAACGGTTTTTCGAAAAACAGTTAAGATCTGCACTTTTAACCCAAACCGTTTATGTAACTTAAGTGAGGAAGTAAATCGACGATTCTGTTGTCTTCTGAACTATTTGTTCGCAAATATGTACACTTTCTTAAACATATGATACTGATACACGTTTGTGTTAAAAAATGTCGTGGGAATTCTGCCTACAACGTTGTAAATAAAGAAACGAGAAAATCGTACCTTCCGGATGTTCCGACATTTTGTTACCAAAACGAACCGTTTTGGTAACCAGCGTAATCGAGTGGATCACCAGTGACAAAGACAGAACCAGTAAATCGGTAAGAAATAAAGTAAAACAGACATGTAGTTGATTTTTTCATATTGTGTCCCTCTTCAAAATTTAAAGGGAAATAGGCATGACTGGCCAGGAAAAAGTTTTTGGTATCTGATGTCACTCTCTTGAATTCTTGAGGTATATTCAATTACAAAATATTCTATTTATTATGGCATTATTTGATGCAATCTTGTCAGTAACAAGAATAGCATGAATCTGGAAATATTAAAAAAATTCTTTCTATTTAAGGTAAATCACAATATGAGAATCTTTATGTAAAGTTCACAATTATAATTAAAATCAATAATTTATGCAATGCGTAATATTTTTTCACTTTCAATTTGGACATTTTCACATTTAAGGAGAATATGTTGTTCAAAATCAAAATATTGTGACTAAATGTTGAAATAACATTTCCCTAATTTTTGGTTTCCTACTTTTTTAAAAGCGCAATAGTGAGCTACCTTAAATAGTGGCAACCTTTTTAGTTCTCTGTTCCTAAGTTTAAATCTCAATCGATACATCATCAAATGCATATTATCAAAACTAACCTCAAAAAGAAACAATACGACAAAGAAATATTGGTAAAATTGAAAATAAATGACATTTAGTTGAAATACTAATATGTTTTATATTGATCTTTGGCCTTAATTGTTGTAGTATACTAACAAGACTGACGGATTGATAATCAATCTTTGATGGAATATAATCTTTTTGAGATTTGTTAGTCTGGTAAGATAGTTAAAACCATTACATGTCATTGTGTGTGATGTTTTGAAAGTTTATTAAATAGTTATATGGAAAAAATTGGAAATTGATTAATTTTTGAATTTTTAGGATTTGGATTGAGATTGAATGAAAAAATGTTACATGGGATGATATTTTCTTGAAAGGGAATTTACATTGTTTGAATTGATTTTTGGGTGGTGCGCTGACAGAAAACTAATAAAAAATATGTTGTATTAATGTTATGTTTTCTTCTAAACCCCAGGGTAGTATTACAAAGGACTAATATAATGGCCAATCAAGTAAATACTAAATTGATTTCATGCAATGGGGATATTAGGGCACTTCCAGTTATGCTTAAAATTTCTCTGTTGTCTCGCTTATTTCACTCAATTTCTCTCTAAAATTTGAATGAACTGTTTGATTTTGGGGTATTTCTTTATAATTTGGAGTATTACCTATATGGCGGTATGTTTTACATCACTGTAAATTCACTATATTGCGTTCTATTTTGCATTTTAAAATATGATCATCTTTGTATTTTCATATTGGGTAGTCCTTGTTGTCCGTGCCTATCTGACAAACTGATAATTGTTACATGGTCCTGGGCCAGTCATGCCTCAAATGTTAAAACGCAAGCTGAAAATATTTTAAACTCTCACAAAATCATTTTAAATTGAATTGATACTAAACATGAAAGATTTAATAAACTGAGACCTTAAGAATCAATTTTTTGTTTTCAAAGAAAATAAATATGGTTTATTCGTTTTGAGAACCCCCATGATATGATAACATGTTAAGGATTCCCCACTGTTTCTGGTTGCAATGCATACAGTAGAAACACATGATACTTTTACTTTCAACAGAGATTCTAAACCAATAATACAGGCTTTATTTACCTTTAGGGGATACACTATCCACAGCCAATACATGGTGAAACAGAAATCTCAGTTCCTCTACTACTCATATAATAATCATTTTATGAGTTCGAAAAATACACTATTGTATCAGGTAAATATTTTTTTCGACCATCAAAATCATTTTATGGGATATCATTTCCTATGACATAACCTCATCAGTTAAACTTTAAAACCCAGGGTTCATTAAAATGTCAATGCATGCCATTGGATATATAATTAAATTGATAGTATTTTTACAAATATTTCATTTATCATGTTGTAACGAGTTAAGTTATGGGAGCCAGATGGTAAGAATCACTGCTCCTTAATCCCTATAGGGGTACGGAGAAATAAGGTATATTTCACCATATTCAAGCACCCTTATAGAGGATATTGGGATATTTCAATTAAATCAGAATAATCTTCAAACCACTTTATATTAAGGTAAACAAAAAATGGTTGTCCAAGATCCTTAACCCCCTTGTTTGATTTCTGAAAACAGGGTAAAATTGTCTCTCTTTCTAGATCCTAAACCCCCTAATATGGCTCTTGGAAACAGAGTTTGAGTGTGTCTGTTGTAGCAGCTATTAGGCTGTATCCAGAGAAACATGGGAAACACATTCACCATCGCCCTGTCATAATGTTTGCTTAGAGCATACTTCAATAATAAACAACATGTTTCCTCCTTCAAAATACTATAAATTCAACTCCTGTCAGAATTTCTTTTTGTATCTTGATAAAAGTTTGATATAATATTCAAATACTTGCGCTCAACATTGGCACCCATACTTCAGAGATTAGCATTCATGGTTGACATAAATTGGCATTCATATTTTACAGATTGGCAATCATATTTCACAGATTGGCATTCATATTTCACAGATTGGCATTCATATTTTACAGATTGGCATTCATACACCCCAGATTGGCATTCATACTCCCCAGATTTGCAATTTCCTGTAATATACACACTGATCCATCCAGCCCTCTTATATTTTATGAACTTTTAATTTCTGATAATTTTCTAAATTCATACTGACCAAATGTGTGCATTTATAAATGTTAATGTAAAAATTGAACTTACCCATCAGAAGAATGACTCCCATTCCTAGCAACCTGTATGTATCCATGACAACTATTTCTTGCCTCTGATAATCCCTAGCAACAGTTTAAATCAGCAACAGTTTATGATTATATCCTGTTTATCCAGTCCTTTAAGAATCTCCAAAATTGTCCATGCAAAATTAAATATGTTGTATTTGATACTGTATGTTTTGTGCTCCTGAGTGATGCCTCTGAATTTTTTAGGTCCTTCCCGTTTGAGTACTCGTTGAGATGTGACTGCTTGTTGGGTCACTTGTGTATATATAGAGCTGCCAACTGCCTAGGGCCTATGTCTTATCACCTCTATACCTTTACCTACAGTCCTACACAGGCAGCCGGTGACAAACCATATATCTTGTACCTATAATAGCGCCTTTTCAATCTAGCTCTATCCAAACTCTATAATTGAGCATCAAATTACTGTGTCTTACCAACCCTTCACAATAGGGGTGCTTTCACTGAATCCACAGCTATCATCAACTCCCATCTAGTTTGCATGCAATGTCAAAAGTACCTGAAAGTGCAAAAAAGACCTACATTACTGTGTTTATTTTGAAGTGTTTTTGTTGTCATAAACTTGGGACAATTATTTTTAGATATTTTCAATTGATTACTGGTAGTGATTATGTTTAATGGGAATTACCGCTGTGATTGGCAGGTTGACAGGGGAATTATGCTGAACAGTAGTGTCATCTATTATAGCAAATTAGAACTTAGTAATTGAATCAATCAGTTTATATAAAATCATTAAATGATATTTTATTATGGATGAAGCCATATTGTGATGACATAACAACATTCATTGGTTTCTACTGAACGAGAAGCCACTCTTCAATGTTTAGAATTGTTAATCGGATAAGAGTGACTTTTCATTTCTTTCTTGACCACTTCTCATATTGACTGTTTATGCCCTTTATCATTTTTACTATTTATGCCCTATATCATTTTTTTTGGATTGTTAATCAGATGAGAGTGACCCTTTATCATTTTTACTATTTATGCCCTTTCTAATCTTTTTTTTCTAATCTTAACTATTTATGCCCATTCCCATCTTGACTATTTATGCCCATTCCCATCTTGACTTTTTATGCCCATTCTCATCTTGACTATTTATGCCCATTCTCATCTCAACTATTCATGTCTGTTCTAATCCTGACTATTTATGCCCATTCCCATCTTGACTATTTATGCCCATTCTCATCTTGACTATTTATGCCCATTCTCATCTTGACTATTTATGCCCATTCTCATCTTGACTATTCATGTCTGTTCTTATCTTGATAATGTAACATATTTTTAATTAGTTTGCCATTTATTACTGAGAGCATGCACACCTTATTTATCCCAACATTCAGCAGCTAAATATCTAAAATTATCCCCAGAGCCCAATTTCAGCGACCCATAAGAAAATTGTCACTGTGGTGTTGTTTTGAAATGCAAAATAGAGTGAAAAATAGTGGAATCAGTAAGGAATAAAGTAAACACAAATCCTGTTCTCACCCCATAGTATACAGAAATGCCAAAATATCATATACTTCTGTCAAATTTTTGAGAGAAATGAAGTAAAATATGAATATCCAGGGAGAAATTGTTTGTGTTCGCTGGCATTATATCAATACAAATCTCTCTCTGATAATTAAGCCTTTCACTAAGACACTTACTACTCTATTTCCCTGGAGATAAAAACATATGAAATATTAATAACTCCAGAATGACAACTGAAAATCTTCTATCGCATTCAGTTGGCATAGTGATTAGAAGAGATTCCCTGATAATCAACACGGCCACTTAGCAGACGGTAATGCTACATGACATTCCTATTGTTTCTTACAAATAACAGTCACATTTATCCATTCCAAAATTGCTCAAGTTTATTTCAGTCAATTTCTCTCTAAAATTTGAATGAAGTATCTGATTTTCTTGTGTTTCCATACAATTTACAGTGTCGACTACATGTCTGTATAGTTTATTCCTTTTAAATTTCTCCCTTTTTAACTCTAATTTATATTTCAGAGCATCACCCATGTCATCATTTGACATTTTGGTGAAGGGAATTATCTTTTGCTTCCCTTACAAATTGTAACTTTAGATTTACATGAACTTTTAAAACATTTACATTTACTTTTTCCTGGTTCTGAATATTAATTACTTCCACAAGTAGATTCTATATTCCTGGTATAGATTCCAGAAATGTTTACAAGTAAAGAATTTAGTTCTGAAGAGTACAGTTAAACCCATAAGTGGAGCATTCCTGGTTCCATTAAAAAGTTTCACTTAGGAGGTGTTTTACTTATAAAGGTTCAATATTGATATTCAGTCACAGAAGTGTTCTACTTAAAAAGGTGTTCAACCTATACAGGTGTTCCATTTGACAGGTTTTACTGTACATGTACATTTGAGGTCCTATCTGATGTAAAATCTGAAGACAATATTTTATATTTATTGATTCTTAGTAATTATTATAGTTAGTAATACAATATCTTATGACTTAATGATTCTTATTAAAATGAAATTATGCATGTGTTACATTTAGAAATTCTGAATTAGTACAATATGTTACACTTAATGATTCCTCATTGGAAACACTGAAATGATGTGTTACACTTAGATATTCTGAACTAAGACAATAAGTTACACTTACTGATTCTTCATTGAAACTTTGACCATTTTGTGCTACACTTACTGTTACTAAAATGAAGACTGGTATTTTACACTTACAGATTCTGAACTGTTTTTTATTTCACATGGGAACCGATATATTCCTTTGAACTAAGCCAGCCATAGTAGTAAACTAGTTGCACTGTTGCAGTAAAAATCATTTTAGATTTTACGTCTAAATAACTTGTCCATTTCAGATCTTTATGGCATTACAATCAGTCGTAAAAATCAAAACGTCAGACGAGAACACGATCTGAATGCCAATAAGGGAAAGTAATACAGAAGCAATAGACGAGTTATCGGGATGTGTTTATGTGCTTTATTGATATTTCAAGTAGACTTGGTATTAATTGATGCTCAGTTACATTGCGAGCATTAAGATTATGGAGAGTATTTCTAGTCCAAGTTCAAGTGTTCCTGAAAATGATTCTGGCTTTGGGAAAAGGAAGATGGGAATATGCCAAAAGATTTTTCCGGTCATTTCCAATATATCACATTTCTCTCTAAAATTTGAACGAAGTTCCTGATTTTCTAGCATTTCTATACAATTTAGAGTTTTGACTAAATGCCTGTTTACTTTATTCCTTGCTGATTCCTCTAGATTCTACTCTATTTGCAGCACCGTTGTGGAACTTCTGTGATTGCGTATTCCATGATTGTTCATGTGCCAACACATGTGTAATGATGGAAGAAAGTCCATAGATGTTATATTCTGACACAGCACTGAGTCTTACAAAGAACAAATTGATGAAGAACCATAATATATTGATTGACCAAACAAAAAAGATCACAAACACAATAACTGATTATCATGTTGTGTTTTTTTTATCAAAAATGCTAAATGTAATGACCCTCTGCTATAACAGATTATGTTGTATTTGCTTTCAAAAAGGCCATGTGACTCCAGCAACTTCAACAAAGTGTATTATGGCTAGTGTCACTTCGTCCATCTTAGATCCAGACCATTAATCCTATTACTTCATTTTTAGATCCCGAGCATGAGTTCACCAGACCTCCGATCTCATTTCCAGATCGCCCACATTTCAATCTGAACTGACCTGCTGATTGGTTGTTATTACCTCAGGGATTATCTATCTACACCTTTAGCCGAGCCTTCTGGCATTTTTCCGACAATTTCTTTACCTGTGATATTATCACCTGGGGGGATAGGGTACATCGGCACCTTGGCTAACACAGTGTTGTCATGTCTTGGAACCTAAGACTTCGCCCTTTCGAATACAATAGTATCTCTTTTGCACCAAATATGCACTAATTTATCATTACATATAATAATTGGTTTGTTCTTGTTGTTGGCTAATAGTTTTAAAAACCTGATTGGGAATAGTATGATTATGCTATGATATATTCTTGTAGAGAAACAGGTTTATGATCATTATTAGTAATGTTTTTAGTGTGAAATAGAGTGGAAGAGCAGAATCACAGAGAAATAAAGTAATTCATACTCCAAATTGTATAAAAGTGTAAGAAAATCAGATGCTTCATTCAAATTTTACATAGAAACAGTCAAATTTGCACAACGAGAGAGGAATCTTTGACATGCAAAAATCGCACAAATGTTGCCGATTGCCCGTAAGAAAAGATGGGGAATTTGAATTGTTCTACCTGATTTTGTTTATTCAGGGTTAATGTTTCAGTCTTTTTATCTGACATAGTGTAACTACTTCCCTGCACATTTTCATCTTTTGTTCTCTATCTTTGAATGTTTCCATTTGTATATGTTTCTAATGACGTCTGCTTATTAGAAATCTACTTGTATAAAGTGTGTTTACATTATTTTCTCAATGCTGTAATGGTTCGGTGTATGGGAAATGCAAGAAATGTTGATTTTTTATCGAGGGGGCTACAATAGCCATTTGTACAAGGTCATTACTTGCTTTAAGACATGCACAATGGGAATCAGATGTTTTAAGGTAGGCCTGTCTGTTTTATTTTCATTTCATATATTTCATATATTCAGTGACCAAAAATCCCAAGATTTTCTTATCAATTCATAAATGGACAAGAATTCTTAAATAAATCTGGACCGATGATTTGATGGGGTGGGAAACTGGTTGGTGTTTCAGTGAATGTTCCAGACATTCTGAAATGTTTCATTTTAATGTTTCTAAAAATGACAGGAAGATATTTCAAATCATAACTTGGAGCCATAACTTATCCATAAATGCAGAAAGTTGTCTCTAGGAGTTTCCTCCATGCCAAAGATTTCTCTCTGGTCCATTCTTATTCCACCCCATTTCTCTTTAAAATTTGAATGAAGTGTAATGATCTGATAGATCGGTAGATATTGATTGGTTATTGGTTATTGATGTGAGTCTATAGAATATAATAATGACAAGCACAAGATGTAGTGTGTTCACTCATGGTGTATATTCTTATAACTGATGAACCAGGATGTCTCCTGGTAAGATGATACATATGGGTACATGTGGTCAGTGGTCAGTTAGTACAACATATGGTATTATATAAATGAGGTCATTACATCCCTCCTTTTGTTTAGATTAGAAAATACATATACAGGTTTTGAACTTATGATATAGAGATAATATAAGTTATGATATAGCAGTAATATAAACAGTATTGTACGTAAAGATTATGGTAATTCACTTTGCTGATTTGCATTATAACAATAGATAGTTTCTGGTAGATCAGCTGATGTGATAATAATCTCAAGAGTTCATGACTTATGATAATGAGGGTTACTCTGTGGTCAAGTGTCTGTTTATAAACATTCCATAGTAAAAGTCAATGTTTGTAAACATTCCATAGTATTTCAGATTTCATTCAT